GGGGGGGGTGCAGAAGACAGCTGCACTTCTCCCGCTATTTGACAAGGAGCCTGTTGCTCCCAGGGCAGCCAGCAAGGCAAGCTCCATCCTCTCTAATCTTTTCAATAGCTCCTGCCTGCCATCACCCTGGCTGAGCAGCGTGAGCTCTCCCTCCCAGTGTAACTGCAGGGATTGCAGTTCTCCATGCCCCTCAGGACAAGAGATGATGCCCATTGCCTTGCTTAAACCAACTCAGCTAGATGTCATAAATTCTTTGCTAGTTTTTCCCCTTAGAACTGATTCTTTCAAATGTTCCCTGCTGAGTGGGAAAAAGCTCAAAAAGGGAAGCAATTCAATTTGCATTGGGAGCATGGGCATGTGTGTGTGCAGACAGGGAAAAAAGGCAGCAAGACCAATGGCTTTGCTTGTTTTTAAATGGACAGTTCCTTCAAACACTGATTATATATTTGGCAGGTCTATATTAAGATTTGTTGTCGTATCACTGAGAAAGTGGCTCATATATTGGGGAGGTGGAAGAACACCCTAGGCAGATAAAACAAAACAACCTGCTAAACAGCTACTTCAGGACCTATGTACCAAATTTCCAAGTTAGATACCAAGTTTGAAAATGCTTTAGACCTGAACACCTAACAGACCCACATTTTCAGGTGCCAAGCACCTACTTTATAAAACTCAGATCTCTGAAGTGTATATAATTGTGAATCTCAAATGCAGAATTGCTTTGGAAAGTCTTCACCAAATGTAATTTTTCTAATTTTAATTCATTATCAGGCATTTCTTTTTGGGGAGAGGAAAAATGGGGTTGGGAGGTTTCAGCAAGCCAAACACAAGACAAGCAAGTCATTGTATTTTGTGGGAATTGTTAAATTTAAATATATCTAATTACAAATCACAGGCACTTTCAATAGTTGAGTTCCCGCTGCTTTCCTGGCACAAGAAACATCCTTAGTAAAAGAGAGTGCTTAATGATTCCAATTTTTTTATATAACACTTAACGATGATGTTGACTTGTATTTGGCTGATAATTCCTTACCTGACGGCTTGAATGCAATCCTGCTTTTCTTGCCCTTGTTTACTTGTTTCAGGAAGGAATCTCTGAGCAAATCAGATGCTGTAACACGTTTACTAGGATCAGGTTCAAAACAGAGCAAAATAAAGGCCCTTGTTTCAGCGGACAGTGATTCTGGAATTTCAGGATGAATCTTAAACATCCCAACCTGCAAGAAAAACACAGATACTAAATAATTTTACTAAACAACTGCAAGGAGACCATGGGACAAAGCTTTCTTAGTATGATCTCTCACAATCTCACTGACTCTTACGGAAAAGGAGCGATCCAGGTACCCACATAGAGCAGTGAAGCGACAAGGCTCTGATCCTGACTCCATTGTAGACATGGCGTGAATGTCCATGTGGCATCGCACAAATGTCACGTTATGGATGTATCCAACCATCTACCTACAGGCATTCTCAGGATCTGGACATTATCCACACCAAGTGCTTCAAATGCTGCTTTTCCTACCAGCATTGAGAACCGCAATCCCTCCAGCTACTGCATATGCTTCCCACTACCCTGCCCAGTACTGCATCTCCCCGTTGCTGACTCCTCCAGCACATTCGTGCCCAGGAACAGGAATAACTTCCTCCTCTAGCACCAACTGCCTGGGGCCTGCACCTGTTCTGCTCCCGCTGCTGCCAAATTTCCTTGTACAAATGCTCACGATGACCTTGCCAGACCTTGTCACCACCCTCGGCACTCGGGCCAGATGTCTTCCCTAGCTTTTCAGTGTTTTTAACTGAAAAAATCACATGATGTCCAAAGGTTTATCAAGATCCCCCACTCTTTCTCTAAGTAATGAAAAACGTGCTTCTACAGGTTGCTCCCTAGTGGTTTTTCCAGCTCCTTCACTGCCTTCTTATTCTCTAATGCCAATCTGGCATAAATGTTTTGAAATGAGAATTACGTAACACGTGTGCACTGTATGGCATGTATCTGGTGAGATTATGGCTTGTAGTCTCAGCATCTTTACATAAAACAGGCTCTAGAGAGCAAGCAGAAAGATAGTGGCCACAAGGGAGATAGTAGCCCAGCAGTTAAACAAGTGCCAGCTGCTTGCTAAAATGAAGAGTTGTTTAAATAATCTCATTATACAGCTGCATTACCACACTGTGGCACCATTAGGCACTCACAATACTGGTTCAGCTTCAATGCAAGCTGAAGCAAAAAATGCTGAGCAGTCATGCTTCTGTTCGAATGACAGTGCAGAATATAAAATGCTAATAATGCATTAAGCCCTTCTGAACCATGATTCTAAGCACATTCGAAATGTTTCTTGCATGCAACATTTTTAACATATGTAACTTGCTAACCTCTGCAATTAAATTGATGTATTTAGTAAAGAATAAATAAATAAATTGATGTTACGTCCTTTTGGCAAGCTACAACATCTATGCATTTATCTTGCCTGATGGAGCATCTTTATCTGATCTGTCAAATCCCATGCATATTTTGGACAGTGCTTTATAAATGGGTTACGTAGTTTCACCTCTTCAAAACATCAGCCCGGCAGGATTTTTGCTTTGGAGCACAGAAGGAAGACAGCCACCTGCTTGCTGTGCTCTGACAATTCCTCTTGACACTGTCTCTGTGGTCAGCCCACCCCTCCTTGTGCACTCTGGGGACAGGCTCACACAGCCAGCTTCAGCTGGGGCAGTGTCACAAGCTGATATTATGACCTCATGCACTAAACAAAACCTGGGACAGTGCGAACCAGGACCAGGAAATTTGAATGCACATCTCTCACCTTTATCTCTGTGGCTCAAAGAGAATGACTTTTGTCACAAGCATCCTGAAACTCTATGGCAACGTTAGTTTACTTTATCTCCGTTGAATGTTGTTTGTTTGCACTCCTTTCACACAGAACCAGATGCACACACACTGTGCTCATAGATGAAGTACCAGATAATGTACACTCAGCTAGGAATTATTTCCAGTTCTCTGTTTCCTCTAGCCCCCTTTTCTCTACTTTGTCCAACTCTTTGGTCGTTTGCAACGTCTACACTGACTGCACAGCCAGAATCAAGATCTTCCCTCTCCTCACCTGCCCTATGCATGACAGTGTGCACGTGTGGAGGTAGAGACCTCAAAAGTTCGATATCCCAAGTTTTCCAGGCTTCTGTTCTTTTTACATGCTGTCCTGGCCTGCTTCGTTCCTGGCTTCCAACCTAGCTTCCAGCTTGCTTACTTTTATTACACAGCAAAAAGAAACCACAGTTTGCAATTTATGGTGCCCAGCAAGAGGCAGTTCCAAGCAGGTCCCAGCAGAGCCAAGAAACAGAAAACAAAAACAAATGCTTGACTGTAGCACATTAACACAGTGTTCAATTAAAATGCTAAAAACTCTGCCACATCCTTCAAGAAAGAAAGGCAAGAAACATATTTTAAAAAGAGCCAATTCTGAGACTTCAGAACACAGCTCTGCGGCCTGGAAGTGCTTATGGACAGGGCGTAGGGACATGCGCAATCCTGCCACAGCTCACCTCACGAGCCTGTGCAGAGCTCATCAAGCACCCAGAACTGAACCAGCAGTTCCTGACAGTTCAATAAACTGTGCTGAAAAACAAGACATGTAGCTCACTGAACAGTTCAACTACATGCCAGATACATAAGATGAAAAGGCATCTGCTGACAGAACTGTATCTGACATTTACAGCAGTGTGGAAAAAAAATCTCTTTCCATGGCTCCCTCAGGAAAGCTTCAGTGAACCAAACCATGCTCACCCAGGCAGCTTTTGTAGTTCTCTGGTAGTGTCACAAGTTGACAGCACCAAGGTGACATATTACACCGTTGAAAGAACTACATGAAAACCCGTAACCAACCCTTTCTTTGTCTTTTAGCTGTGGTGCATGGGACAACTCACAGGCCTAGGATGACACATGCCATGCAGAATTGCAGCCCAGCTTACTATACTTATTGATAAAGATCTGATTTTGCTACCCTGGTTCCATTAATAATTATACTAATGCTCACACAGTGACTTTCAAGAACATACACAACAGAATTAACAATATTGATAATTTAAAGCAGTTTGTAGGGTAATGAATGTGGTATTTTCCCCATTATAAGAATGAGGACTCTGAAGCATAAGTGAAAACTTAAGTATTCTACTAAAGGTCTACTGCATGCCAGTGGAAGAACCAAAATTTTCAGTCTGCGTATGCGACACATTATCACATCATAGCTTTTACACTACTGTTAGTTTTAGAGTTAGAACAAGTAACTTTTTTCAAATACGTCTATTATCAAAACTATCTGAAGCATTCTCAAGTGTTAATTTGCATATTTGAGAACAGATACACTAAGAGAAACAAAGCACTAGAGGCAACAGTTTACCGAGGAGGTAGCTTTGATCCAAAGGACTTAGGATGTAAAGTATAAAGTATTTTACTCCTTCAGTACGTACCAGACGTCCTGCAAAGTTAGCCTCCCTGCCCCCTTACACCATAGCTTCCCACCACGTTGCAGAGACTGGACCTTTGAAAGACAAGGCAAACAGATCCTCTGGGAGGGAGGCTTATAAAAAAAGACTGAAAGGAGAAGAAATAACTAGGTTGCCATCACTGGAGAGACTGGTTGTCAAGAAGGAAATCATAAAAAAAGAGCAGGAGATGACAAGCAAGAAGGTGGAGAATATTAGGTTTCCTAAATCTTGACTGATTTTTCAGGCTGCTGCTCTGATTCATGACCTATTTCCAGCACAAAAATAAATTATTACCCTCTAGAGCAATACACCTCCTTCTAGAGAAGGATCATTCAGTGAGAATTAAGAGCACAGGTCAGACTGTGGCTTTGTGCAAAACAACCCACATAACAAAAGGTTACTACCAATTACATTCATATTAAAACACTAAGTTAGTATTTGAAAATTCATAAACTCTACAGCAAAAAAGCTGTACTTACTTTAAACATTGCTGCTTGAGGCTCTCCTAGTTCATGAAATGGAGGTTTGCCTGTTGCCATTTCAATAATGGTACAACCCAGTGACCAGATATCAGCTGGTGCACCATATCCTCGTGGTCCTTTATCAATGATTTCCGGAGCCATGTACTGCAAGGTTCCTAGTCAGGACAAAAAGAATAGTCAAGTGTTATAGCCTTCATTCTTATTAAAGAGAATTAACACACCACTAAGCAACCCCAAAATTGTCACATGCAACCTGTAGAGCCAAAATATTTGATTTCCGCTATCGGCACTGAAAACCAGACAGAAATATATGTTTCAAAATCTTTTCTATAAACCAGCTTTCTCCACCATTTCTAATACAAAGCCTCGAACTGCTGAAAGCATATTCACTACATAATCCAAATGCTTCCTCAGAATGTAACATTATATCAAGCAATTTTTGCAGACACTTAATTGTAAAGATTATTGCATATAACAGGTGATGAAAACCCACAGGGTGACAGATAGTCTTCATGAGAATAATTTTTCATATGTTTACCCCTATAATGAGAAGACTAGTGATAGGGAATTTCAAAAAGTTAGTTTGAAAATAAGCTATTTTTGTAAATATAAAATAATAAAGATAAAAATGTTTAAAAACATAACCTCAAGTTTATACAAAAACAATCAAGGGTAAATCCATTACACGATGACTAAATAAATAAGGGAACTCATAATAAATTGCAGTTCTAGGAAGTCTTTTGGATGTGCTTGGGATTTCTGGCATCCAAGGTTAGGAGGGGAAAAAAAAAAATCAAAAAGAAAAATCTATTGAAACTTCTGAAGCTATATATATTGGCAAAACAAGATCCTGCCTAAGCCTGCAGCTGGCTCTTAACAGATGAATCTGAATGTCTCTAAAGTTTGCCTGTAGACAATCTGACTGTAATAATAGTTATAATACTGATAAAAAAAAGAACAGTAAAAATGAAATAAAGAATTGTCAATATGGAATCACTGATATTCAATCATATACTAACACAGCTAACAAGAGGTCTTTACATGAAGACAGTCCACACCAACAACAGAAACCTACAGATTTTCTGAGTGTTCCAAACACTACAGTACTTTCTCCACATGAATTCCTACCAGCTCTGTTATGACATCTTTAAATTAAATTATTTTTCTTCTTAAGAATACAATAAAATTACACTGTGGAAAAGCTGTGAACTATTGAGTAAAGGACATCTGGTGAAGATAAAAGGGATTGGATATTACTATGTTCATTAAATGTGACTGCTGCAGAATAAACGTTCAAGCCACAGCTTTGCCCTCAGGCTGTGTGTCTTGAATGGAGGGATGTAACGTTTAAACCACTAGCAGTCTGATTCTTCAATCACAGTATACTAGAATGGTTTGGGTTGGAAGGAACCTTAAAGATCATTGAGTTCCAACTCCTCTGCCATGTGATTGTATTACATAATGCCTAAAATCCACAGAGTTTATGCACTGAGTTAAGGAACAAAATAAATTGCAAGAGACCTTTTAAGACCCTCTGGGCTATAGTTACCTGCTCACTGATTTTAAATCCAAAAAGAGAACTTAAGTAAAATATTTATTCTCATGGTAAATTACATCTCTGAGGCACAAACAGGGCTGCAAACATGCAAGAGAACACAGAAGAAGGGCACAAGGAAAGATTTACCCCTTTTTATTAGAGTATGGTGACTTTTCTTCAGATACCATTTCTCCATACATCATCTCTAATAACAATCAATTGCTAAAAAGCCACTAAGGAGTACGTAAAACACAGGCAAAGACAGCATGATTTTCCTCTAGTATCCTGGGCCAAAATTAAACTTTGGACTATGACTTTTAACAGCTACAAAAGGGTCTTTGTTCATGAATTTGACCTTATGGAACCCCTTTATATACTTAAAGTTTTCAGAGTATCTGGTAGAAATGAGAAGCACAATATAGCTATACATCACACCACCTGGTAGCGCATCTCTTTCCCATGGAGTGTAACTGCATTGAACCAGTCTAACAAAAACGGCAAGGGCAAACATTGGAGGCAAAACCTGAAACTATTCTTTTCCAGGTACCACAAAAGACCTGTACATATTTGAGAATTATCCATCCAGTTGCATTAGCAAGATGATTCTTGAGAAAATTATTTGTTGAATAATTTGTTTGGAAAAAAATGGTGAAACTCCTTAAAGTAATGCTTCAGAAGCCAGCATTTAACCAGCTCTGTTCAGACATACTGTCATTTAGGTATCTATCTGTTGTAGCATCTATAAACTGAAGAGATTGCTTCTTGTAGCTCTTCATTCTTAACAAAACATTCAAATACTGCATTTAGGATTCCAAACTGGACAAATAATATATTTTTTCTTCTCTTTAAAGGACTCCTAACTTAACTTCATTTGATTCTAACTAAAATCTTTACAGCTTTGCAGGAAATAGATTTGTTTCAAACGCCCGCAGCTGAAGAGATGTTAATCTCATGAGATATTGATGCAGACATCATACGCTATGTTCAGATCATGATGTAATACAAGCCCGGTTTCCAATTCACAAGCTTTGCTAATAATGAGTAAAAAAAGCTTGGTAAATTATTTCAGAACCTTAATACCTTTATTTTCATGGCTTCCCCTGTAAGAAAGCTGGAGGAAATGCAGACTCACTACCAGACAGGAAATGCGAAGCCTTGATAATCACTCAAATGGCGGTGGTTGTCTTCCACATACGACTGACAGCTGTGTCTGCATACCATTTACTTAAACTGCAGGCCAGTATGAGGCTTGTGATTAATGCTATCAGCCTATGCATATGGCCATATAACAATTCAAAACATCACGTTACCTGTATCTCCACTGATGAAAGAATTGAGTAATTATGTGACCACATATTCATTTTTCAATGTGGAGTTTCAGCTGTTATCAGCAAATTTTGTTTTCCCTCAATATTGCAAGTTTTCACTACCTTGTGGTATATGAAAGCTTTTCTGTAACATACTAGCCTAGTATTTTCATGTAAACTGTTCTTTTTACTGCTGATAACACCAAGTTAACCAGTTGGTTGGCTTGGATAATTAATGCCTCAAAAGTGAAAGTATTTATAAGTTTGTGTTTTCTGCACTTTAGACATACTTCAAGAAAGTATGCATGCCTGAGTTACTAATATCAAGATTATTAAATGAAAAAGTTGCTGTATTCAAGCGTTTCCAGATGTAATTACAACAAAGCAATTGCTACTTAATGAAAAACTCTTAGAAGAAAAACTATTACCCCATCACACTTAAAAAATAAATAAAAAAGTAAAATGGAAGAAAATGACATTAAAAAAAAAAGAAAGATAGGAAGCCTGTGTTTACGGCAATCACACCCCCATTCACTCTTCCCTGAAAACAGAGACCTAGTTGTTTTTTCATCACAAATCCAAAGAGCCCTTATCAATTCTGCTAAATTAGTCTTACCTGTAAATGTTTCGGTGCATGGATTGATTCCTGCCAGCCGTTTGGAAGTACCAAAATCAGATATCTTTACCACACCACTATAGGTGTTCACCAAAACATTATCCCCCTGTGGTTTGGATGAGAGAGACAGACAAGTTCAGATTCCAAATCCCACTCTCAATACTTCATCAAGTTTGCAGTTGTCTTTGTAATAAACCTTTCTACAAAGGAATTTTTCTGGTGCAACAGGGAGAAGGGGTGGTTTTATTCTTTCATTTTGTTTTAAGCTTCCATGAAATCCTATTAAAAATTCTACTTCAGGCTAGAGTGAAACTAACTGAAGTAAATAAGATAAAAAGCAAATCACACAAGATGCACTAAAGGAAAATTTACCTTTATATCTCTGTGTACAATCTGGTTCTCATGGAGATACTTAAGGCCTTCCAGAATCTGCTTGGTGTAAAATTTAATTGTAGGTTCTTTCATTGGGCCCCACTTAGATCTTAGGAGAGCTGAGAGGCTGCCTACAAGAGTTAAGAAGAAAGTGTATCAAGATAGCAAAATCCCCAAATTAACATGAAACATTAAAGTCTGCTTTTCTCATTAAAAGCTTTTGCTCAATATCCTAATACAAGAGAAATGCAGTACCTATATTTAAGTCAAATTCTTTCTAGATCCCTCAGAGCAAATAATTTGCTGCTGCTCTCAAGCACTTATTTCTTTCTTGCTAGCTCAGCGTTCAGCTCCATGACAGGAATAAATACTACGACAGGGGTGGATGCATCTCCCTCGCTTCAGTCTAACAACTGTTGAGACCAGGACTAGCAACCATTTTGCCCTTAATGAAATAAAGACTAAAGGTAACACTGCATGATGTTATACACTGTACTTCATGAACCACATGCATGGGCAAAGAGAAGCTGATTTACTCGAGGTGGGGAGGGGAGAAGAAAAAAGGAGAGTCTTTTCCTTGCAAATATGGGATTAATTTCTGGAAATATTCAGAGACAGAGGAAAGAAAGTTCCTCAAAGAAACCAAGTAATGGATGTTCAGAGTAGGAGATACATCAGCCACACTTCCCCTACATGTAATAAATCTAATCTTTTTTAAATAACACAAATATTTTAATCATGAAGCAAAATAAAGACAGTTTTGCTTTTTCTGCTCATAATAAAAAAAAAGTGCAGTGGCCCTACTTAATGCCACACAAATTCAGCTAAAGGGATTTTTGATCCACACCAACAGCTTTCTAAAACTGCCTCAAAGAATCTTGCATAATCTGAACAGCTGGTTCTTTTTTAAGACTGGCTGCAGAGTTTAAAATATCTGAATAGGTTCAATAGTATCTTGACATTAGTAACCAATCACAGCACACTCTACTGTGCATATATGAACAGGAAAAAAAGGTATGTAAACAACAGCAGCTGATACTTTTAACAAGTGCAGGAAAACAACTGGAGGTCTTGGTATAAACTCATCACATCTGTGTGCATCGTACATGTCAGAGGGTCTCAGCTTTCAGGTGAGAAGGTCACAGGAACTCAAAAATTAAACAACTTCAACTATGTTGAATGCCCCAGATGTATTTAATTACACTTTGAATGCTCATGTCTGTACCTTCCCTAGAAAACCTGAACTTTTTTTCCCTGTTTTCTTATTTCTGTTTTTATTTTGAAAATTATATTCATACAAGAATTTAACAGTCATTCTGACACATCCTTGACACTGAAGAGCAAAGAGCAAAAGGGAGATGGAAATATAAGCTAGAGAGACTATAGAAGGCCCTCACATCTTAAAATATTGAGAAGGCTAGAGGAGTGAAACTGGAATTATGAGCAAGGGAAGCATATAACTTTTATCTCTAATCTAGCTAGGAAATAGCAATGCTTTACATATAGCAGTTACAAAATCACACTTAATTGCTCAATCAGTGTTACTGCTCAGCAGAAACTTATCCTAAAAGTTTCAGTCATCATTCAGATGCTCAGGCTAAATGGACTATACAGCTTTAACTCCACTATTTTATAACACATGAGTATTTGACACCAAATGCTTTTAATGACGTTTCTCTAGGTTTATAATTATTACAGAAAGGGGAGAGGGTACTGGGACCTGTACACTTCAGATCTACTCTTTATATAAGAAGAATGCCACCCGTAGTTAATGTCTCAACAGAAAAGCCATATACAGTGCACATAGTGCACATCTATTGGCTTTCACTAAGTTTAGAGTCCCAACTGCTTTTGATTCCTTTGGGAGACTAAGCTCAGAATGATACAAACCTCCTGGCACCTGCTCCATAAAAATCTTTATGTATCCATCTTCTGAAATAGATCCAAGATACTGGACAATGTTTCGATGTTTTAAGTATTTATGCAGTGCTATCTCTTCGTGAAGAGGTTGAGAATACCTATTAAAAAAAAAAAAAAAAGGAATTGAGAAGTATCTCATCACACAGGAAAAGGTTCTAGGCTATGCTTAAATGCTAATTTGCAAACAGAATTTTAGGGATACTGATCCAACACTCAGCACACATCGTGTCCATGACCTTCAAAATGCAATGTGACTGTTCAGAAAAAGTACAGAGGTAGACTTCAGAGGAACCCTGAAGGATAAACGTGCCCTCAAAAAATTTATACATGCCTTTCTTCTGTTTTGTTATATAGTACCATCTTTGCCCCTGAAGCTCCTTTTATGCTTTTCCCCCTCCCCATAAAGAATATAAATGAGACACAACTGCAACTTAAAGGACAAAATATGTCTTATTCTAGAATTTGATATACATACAGATTATCAAACTGTATTATTTAGGAGATATATCATATCTTTTCCAAAAATTAAAATGTCCTTATTCTCAAAAGGATACTGTTGAGTACTAGGAGGAAATAATAATTGAATTTTAGTATAGTGGAGTTTTATAAACTAACCACATAGAAGTACATGCTAAGAAGAGCAAAGTTTTCGGGAAAGAACTGCAGTTTCATTAGCAATGTATATGTAACAATAAACTACATCTTACCTGCTGTCTCTCTCGGGTATTTCTTTGATGGCTATTCGGACCTGATTGCTAAGGTCTCTTCCAGCATAAACTATTCCATAAGTACCCTTCCCTAGAACTACCCTGTCACCGTTCTCGTCATAATCATATTCATACTGCAAGCAGAAAAGATAAACAAAGCAGTACAGAAATTGTTATCACTAACATTTGACATTACAGAGAATTTTAAAAACAGTTACGTACTAGACTGAGTTAGTACAGCACAGAGTAGGTACTGCAGTACAGCTGTAGCATGGCAGGTTATGCACCAGCCTGGTGCATTATACAACTTGTAAAATTTCCATGTTACTCGCTTTACGAAACAATTTTCCCTAACCAACTTCAAAATGCATTCACTCAAACAAGGAACACAACATTAAACCAAATTCAATGAAACAGTGCTGTCAAAAGAACAGATTCAGGTATCATCTCTAAGAATTGCTGACAGAGCCTTCCGAATATGTAAATGTATGGAACATAACCTATAATTTTGAAACCAATGGCTTAATAAATAGATAAAAGTGACATTCTCATTACAGTAGGTGGATGCTGTTTTAAGACCCTAAATTCTCATTTGAGCTTAGCCACAGTAAAATTCATTTCTGACATATTCCCCTCATTATGATCTTTTCCAAAAGGTGAAAGAAAACGCTCATCTTCAAGGACGATTAAATATAAGAAGTGGCAGTTTCCACTGCTGCTGAAACATGCTGGGTCATATTGTCAGCTGAATAAGTCACTGCTGGTTCACTGACTTCGGTAAAGCTACACTAAATTACACCACCTCACGGTCTTGTCCCATATGGTGATCTCGTCCCAGAGCTCTCCCACTAAAAAAGTCAGTGAAAAGACCTTTTGATGAATGAAAAAAAATTACGTACTTAACAAAAGTACACCCCAGACACTACATAAAACCAAATTTCTTATGAAAGCTGGGTTAAGCAGCACACCTGATTCAAATCAGGGAACTGATAAAGGATATTGAAAAAACACTTTTCCAAAGAGTTAAGAAAAGCATTGGACAGTTTGATAGCCTCAGATATTATCAGGAGTACAGAGACCTCCCCTACCATCTTCCCAAATCCAAGGGGATGTCCCATATGGGAAAACTGCAGCATATTCTCTGTGGCTTCATATGAATTCTCTGTTAAAAAACCAAACCAAACATCCCATATGGGAAAACTGCAGGATATTCTCTGTGGCTTCGTATGAATTCTCTGTTAAAAAACCAAACCAAACCAAACCAAACCAAACCTTTTTACAATGGCCATAACTACTGACATTTCTGTCAATGACCACATTTTCTGCTTCATCCAATAAGACTCTCTCATACAGAATGGAGCCTTGAGATCTATTTGTTTGAAGTGTCTTCCTAGTTCATATTGCAGCTCTGGTATTGCAATGTCCATGTGTCACTGCCATTCCCCACCTCGTCACCACAGCGAAGATGGCAAGTTTCATGCTGCTGTATGGAAGGTGCTAAAGGAAAACCGTCTGTCATTTATCCTAACAGCATATTCTGCTCAGTGGAACTAAACTTGAGTTAGCATAGCTTTAGTACAGTTTCATTTTCCATGTTTCAGCACTTCATGGTTCATAACACAATCTCGTTATATGATAGGCATAACTGTCCCAAAACGCCATATGTAAAACTTGCCAGGTTCTTTGGTAGGAGCATATCCAGCTTTCACAGCTATCATATGACATAAAACTGCAGAAAAAAGACAGCAGTCACATTGCAGAACTTAAGATTGACAGCAACCCTATCTGCAACAGACTGGTCCTAAGCTAACTCTGTAATTACTGAGGAGAAACCTATGTTCTCTAGTCTGGGTCCCACAATACATGAAAATCATTGAGATTTATAGTTCAGTGCTAGTTAGTAGACAGTTTATTACACTTGTATATACTTGATGCCACTTTATATTTGCCTCCTCTTTTCCCAACAGCTACAAAGATTGAATAAATCACTGCTGGTTGCCAAAAGTCTGAATATGTGATCCACTGGATGTGCAATTCAACCATTAGGTATGAGTAAACCAGTGTTCATAGCTGACGTTCTCTATCAAGGTGGTAGGGCAGAATCTGATCTCTAGGCTATCCTATTTGGGGTACAGCAGGTACTCTTAAAGTGACAGCAACTTCTTCAACATCAATATCCAGAAGCAAATACCCTAAGGTAGAAAGGCCTGCCAAAATCACTCTCCCTCCAGCTCCTAGTCAGCTGTAGAACTAAATGGTAGCTGCTTTCAATTAATACTGCAATCCAAAATGCACAACCCCTTGGGACAACATTCTCATAAGAATTCTGACTGAAATCATATTTTCTTCCCCTAAACTGTGCTCAAGGTTATTTCTTCCTCTTCCCCAAATATAAACAGTTGTTTTACTAACAGTAAGAACTACTGCTTTCTCTGTGCTTGTCAAGCCCATCAAGACCATATAAAGCTGTGTTTTCCATGTTGCCTCTTCTTAAATGTAAGATCTCAGGCTGCAGAAAGACATTCAGTGTCTCAGCTCATTTATAAGCTAAACAAATTAATCCTTCCCTTCTGTATCTTGATTTCTGTTTTAATGTCCTGAGCTAAGACAGTAAGTTCAAGGTGATAATTGTGAAAAGATACGTAGATACGTAGAATGATATAACTTAAAGATTTAAAATTAATTTCTGTAGTCATTTCTCCATATGTCATTGATTCATGCAGGATTGTTTCCTGCTGTGCATTCTCAAGTGATTCTTCCAGTTCCGTTTTCAAAAGGCTCAAGCCACGGTGAGCTCACTTCCTCTGAGAGACTACGATACAGTTGAATAGACTGTGTTGTTTGGAGATTGTCCTGCTATTAGCTAAGTACGTAAGTATGCAATGTAAAATCTGCAGTTATAGATAATACCCTGTTCTTTGCCAAGGCAGAGCCCTGATCCTAGGCTGAGACCACAGGTGTATTTATTAAGCTGGGCTTAATAGGTGTGTATATCTTGTCCTTTTCGCTTGAGGAGAGAATTCTTTTTGCACAAACTTCAGTGCAAAAACTTATGTTCCCCACCATATGCAACTACATTCAGCAGTAGAGTAGAGGGTCTTCTACTTTCTTAATCCTCTTCTGAAGCCTCAGGTACTACAAAAGGTGGTCTCTCATAAAGAGCTGCTCTGAATTGTAAGCCTAAGAGAATTGCTGGAATGAGACATGGTCAGAAAGATACCCAGCTCAAACAAACCGGAGCAGGGTTTTTACACTCATTAAGTGAGTGACTGCAAATAAAAGTTACAACCTACTTTTTATGATGGCTTTTCAGATTTCAAAACAAATAAACAGAAGCACAGGATATGTACTTAGAGCTACAAATCTGGACATTTGCTATGAGGCAGTGCATCTTATGAAAACATGGGTTCACCTGAGCCCACATAAAATGTGAATAACCCTTTCCAAGTTTGGTTTTTTGTTTGTCTGTTGTTTTTTTCTCTGTACTGATTATAAAGAAAGCCTACAGCTACTAGCTTCCTAACATGGATGTTTCAGTGATAAGTCAAAAGCACAATGGATTAATCTTATCCTTAAAAATCTGCAAATCTCTGTGACAGAAAAAGCCTATCAATTAAAATTACCTGGAGTATCAGATACCATCTAGAAAAACTGAAGTACCTTTGCTAAATGGCTTTTTCCTAGAATTTATTTAAAATTTTATCTTTTTTTATCCACTTAAGCCAGTTGATATCAGATGATTCTCATCTACAGAGTGTTTGCAACATAAATACAAGATCAGTAACACCCTTCATTACAGATTTAAGCAGTTTACAGTAGTAACAGGCTCACTTCATTAAAAATGTGGTTTTTCAAATGAATGCAACTCTTGTGTACAAATAGTTTTGTAAGAGTTGAAATTTCATATACAATTAAGGAGTTAAACGCTATTTATTATCTTTCTAGAATACTGATATGAAAGTGCAGGGAAGACAGAGAACAAGTTTCAGAGTTCTTGGATCTTTTAACCTTGACATACCTCCAATGTGTCTCCATCTATTTCTCCTTCTAGTTCCAAAGTACTGCCAACTGCATCAGACAAAATTTCTTTCACCAACCCACAGAATCTAAAAACCAATAAATAGCACAGGATCAAAGAAAAATATCCTTTTAGAGGGAGATTAAACAGATTCTTCACAAGGTGGGCTTTGCTTTCAAGTTAACAAACTCACATTCACAGGTTTCTTTCATTATCTTTCATTACTTGCTTTCTCCATAGTTATCCTATTTTAAATGTGGAAGAACATCAAACACACACTGAAAGGCCTAATTATTTATAAAATTATTTTATTTGCTGTAGCAGACCCTAAGACTTGCTTGTTATTGTAGTTGCATAGTAAAATCTTGGTAGATCAAACTCAAATATTTCTGCTGTACACTTTGATGGAAAGTGCTTAGTATGGCCTTGTCCTTACAAATATAATTAGAGAAAAAGTTGAGATATTAAAAAAATTAGTATTGATGCAATGGTGCAATTCAGTAGTGCTAAATTTGTGACATCATATTGGGTGGTTCTCCTGTGTAGTGATGAGAATTCTATTACCTTCAGTTTAATTTAAATGTTCCTACGGCCTTTGGTTGCAAGTATGATTACTCAGTATTTCTGAAAACCAGATTTTGTGGTTTCTAGTCAGGCATCCAGAAAGCCAAGGATCTAAAAGTAGCAACATGTTTTGAAGAACAGAGTTTTGACTAATTACATCTAGTTCTCTGGGATAGAGATCCTTAAGTACAAGACCATCTTTTCCTATAGTCCCCTGCCTGAGCCACTCACTTTTTTCCAAATTCCCTAACAAATAGTTAACAATTGTTAAAAAGTATTGTAAAATATTCACATCTCTTTCACTCACTAATAGAGACATCCCTGGAATAGACTCCTGTTGTGCACTGAATAAGGCATAAAAAATGTGATCATGTTTCATAACACGAATTGTGATGCCAAATTAAGGCTAAGCACGTAACGTGAATTTTGGTGTTTTCTGTCTTTTATGCATTGCACTCTGCAGAGTTAATAATTTTCTTTAACCTGAATTTATTCCATGTTTTACATAAAAATAATTATTGCAAGGAAAATAAATATACCATCCAACCCCAAATATTAAGTGTATTAACAAAGCACTCCTACTTCATTCAGAAGGTTTATATACCAAGTATCAGTCCCCAGGAAGAATTTGGCCTGCAAAAATTTAGGCCTGAAACTCAGTTAGCATGCTACTGTTTAGAGACAACATATAATCTGGAAATATCTAAATACAGGTGCAGACAGTAACAGATATCTGTGACACAATAGAAGCTAGAAAATTCTGTTACATCTAGTTGCTCATACTTAAATCAAACTGAACAGGTACATAAGGGAATCTAAACCGACATACTACCTTACATGGCATGGCCAAGACACAGTAAAAGAATATAATAGGTATAAATTAGAATAGACTACTTAAGCCTTTTCTCAGATCTCAGAACCAGCCAACAAGTATAATGGGACATTGCTCTCATCACCTTAATTATCACTGAGTTCAGTTCATTGCATCTTCATCAAGAAAAAAAGAGTGAATAAATAAATAATTTATTTCTCAAACAAAAATGTCAGCTTTCAATCTTTACTAAATGAATTCTATCCAGGACATAGTTCTTGCATGCAATACCCACACAAACTGAACTCACCTACTGCACTGGTTTTCTGTAGAAAAGTAGATTTGAAAGTCATCAGAGTTGTCATGGACATAAAGAAAACAACATCGTTCATCAAACTTGGAAATGCTGTAAAATTCACATTAAGAAAAGATTATTTTGGATGTAACTCTTAGAAGAAATAGAGCAAGGAGGAGTTAATTTGTTTTAATTATGGATGCTTAGCAAACGTCTTTTTCACAGTTAATTACCTCAGAGAGGCAGTATGCAATTATATTTATTTTCCTGACAACTAGAAGCTTTTAGTTTATTTATATATTCTATAATCCTATCTCTAGTTTGCTAAATGATTAAGCTACTGCTTACTTTGGTACAATACTCATTCATCTGAAGTGTTTTGAGGTTGATTTGTTGTTCATCTCCCCTTCCATTTCTACACAGTTCTGTCAGATTTCTTGGTATTTGATGACACCTCTATGAAAAGTGAATTGCTTTGACACTAATCTAACTATCAGGAAAGCCTTTCTTTTAAGCTTGACAAGTACTTTTGGTTTTTGTAATTCCATTGCTCTTACAGTAAAACTGAACTGGGAAATGCATATAGTGTAGCAGATCCTTCACAGTATATACTTTTTATGGCCTTAATACTGATAAACAAGTTTCAGGGTGACCAATACTTAATCCAAACTGCAGCAATAATTCTGACAAAGTAATTATTTATTGCATACTGTGTCTTGCCAGTGTCATACATATCACATCTAAATACACCGAAGTGAAAAGAGGCCACAAAACATAATATCGATATGAAAGTAAACCTAGGAATTAATCTCTTATAATTCCAAACACTTTTACCTCAGTATTATCCTACATAAATGCCAAGTTGTTATGCTTGTTAACGTATTGCCATTATTTTTGTGCATTAAATTAATAAAATTGATTAGATTTTTGCCTGATCTGTTCAGTCAAACTCTCAGATTTTGCTTAGCCTCTGTTGAGCCAGTTAGTTAAAATACATGACAGTAGACTACAGTAAAGTTGCAGAATGTGATAAGATCAACTCGCTGCAGCATCATTAAGGGCTACATGGACAAATGTTCCAAAAAATTAGAATTCTGCCAGAAGATTTTTTCAGAAATATGTGAAAATACAATATGCCAATCTGTAGCTTGGTTCTGATATAACATAATTTCTGGCACAGCAAGGTGGATTAACCTGACATGAGAACTAAGAGACAAAGCAAGATGATTCTTCCAAGGGCAAATATAGGATAGAGAAGACAGTATCTAAATAGCAATACTGTATGATAAACAGTGTAATGCATGTGGTATATAAGATGAACTGGTTAGCGTAAATACAATTTAAGGGTTTTGACAGAGTATAAGTTAACTGAAACCACTAACTTTTTTTTTTTACTAAAACTATTGCAATTTCAAAAGTATAGCAATTGTAAGTTGTCAGATACAAAGCAAATGTCTAATTCCACTAAGTTTAAAAAGACTGTCTCTTTGAGCTCTGTAATCCCCAGCAGTAAGAATCAAAGCAAATGAATTTCTTGCTTCTATTTAATTAAAAGTTATCTTTCTCAAAGATTAATTTCTGTGCAATATGTTGACTGAAGGTAATTAACACACTTCAGAAACATTATGCTGAGTTATGCTCAATCAGCTCCACAGACTTCAGTAATGACAACTTCACATCCACTCACATTGCATTGGAGTAGTAAAATAAAATATCACATTGAATTCATTTAAACCAAAACCTGCTTCTAAAAGAAGAAAATACTGAAGTTATGGTAGAATCTATGTCCAAATTCAAAACTGTAGGCTTTCATAGCAATCATCACTCACCTTATTCAGAGAAATATTTTTTCACTGAGCTTATTTGGTTAAGCAAATTATACAAGTTCAGAGAAGACAAACTTGGGACCTAAAACTAAGGTGCTTCTGGTCAAAATCGTCACCCAGAAACTCTCTGCTTTGAGAACTATGGAACCCATTAGGTATCTGAATTTATGCTTGTACTTGAATTAGAAAGTTTTTCAAGCACTTAAGTTTATGCACTTACACAAGTGGCCCCAGCCAACACCCATTTACATCCCTAGAAAGGCCAGATCCACCAATGCAGTGACTCATGAACTCAGAGAGAATGCAAAAGCTCACCTCATGTTCCCTGTGAGGAACATGAGGTCTTGCTCTTAGCTACAGCTTGCATAATGCAGACAGAGAGCAAGAATGCCATAGACACGCTGCCAAGTTGTACAGATAGATTTCATTTTGTTTTCTCCCCTGGTGCTCTGACTCTCAACTTTCTGGCAGCAAAGTAGCCCAACTTAAGATATATAAGCTAGATTCTAAATGTAGTAATGTATTTTGCAGTTGTTAATGCCAAATATGATTCTTTTCTATCCTTTCAGTTCTCAGAACAATCCTGTTCTTTCTATATAATATTCTGATCATCTTTTTTACTAATATTTAGACCCATTTGCTTGGGACTGGTGTTTCCATTAACCTAGGCATCACAAAATGGAACTATTTTAACTATTTAAAGGCTAGTCCTCGAAAAACTCCACTAGGAGTCTCCTTCCAGATCAAGAGTTCTTCCCTTAGCACAAACCACGTCCATGCATCATTTAACGTTTCTCTAATAATCCAAGTTTTAGCCTGTAGGTTTTTAGATAGAGCCATATCAAAAGCATTTCTGAATTCCAAACAGAAAATAGATACCATGGTTTCCTTTTCTTAAGGTGAAACAGAAAAACTGTTCTTTCACTTATGGAAGGAAGCAAGAAGAGCTAAGGGCTCTTCTTTCCTTCTGCCCTCCATGTTTTTAAATGCAGAGATAGCAATAACTGCACTGAAAAATGTAGAAAAATATATAAAAAGCAAGTACACAATTGAAAACAGGGAAGTCTACCAGAGAATACACATGCCCACACACACCCCTTAGATGAGTATTCCTATGAGAAATGTACAGCTCTGCCCATGCATGGAAAGGCAAACTCTTCTCTGTTGACATTTCAAGGCAGGTTGGACAGAACAAGCTTTTATAATAGGCAATGCAAAGCAGAGATTTAAGGCAGAATCCAGATTTCCCACTTATGGGAAATATACAACATAAACAAAAACCCACTTAACTGTTTTCTGACATACCAACCTTATTCCCCTAATGGAAGAAGCTGTAAAATTCCATTCATGAATCTGTTTCTGTAAAGAACAGAGAGCTATAATCAACCACAGTTTAACCTTGACTTACTATTGAAAACAAAGTCACAGCATGGTAAGCAAATTTAAGTTTTTCCAACATGTCTCTTTTCCTTTCTTTCTTTCTTCCCCCCCACAAATTTCAAATAAGATTGATGTATAGGTAAAGAAAGGCCATACACCGCTGTTTTACTCACTTGAGGAAAAATTAATATAAATGACACAGTGTAGAAGTAAAGGCCGCATTTCCTCATGTAAAATTAAATTTGAAGAACAAATCTTGAAGTACAATTTACCAAACATTCTGTTTGGACTCAATACATCAACATTTCATATTAAACATGGAGCAGACTATGCCTTACTCTTATCCAGGCTCAAAGGGAAAAGAAACTTCAGACGTCTTTCTAAGAGGTATTGAGCCAACGGTTTTGGCCCAGGGAGCACACTGGAGGATAAACAGAGGAAGGACAGCCTGTGCCTAGGACCGCAGCCCTCGGTACATCTCTAGCTAATAGCTGGATCTTATTTAGCACTGCCAGATATGCATCAAGAATTTGTTCCATAAAGCAAAGTTCTATCAGACACATTCACTCAAAGTAGTGAAGTAGAACAGTGCACTGGAAAAGAAGTTCACAGATCCAGGTAATCACGTGGTCTTTTCCTGCTCTAACATACTTCTTTTCCACACTTGCCTCTCTACATTTTTAGTCTATTCTCCACCTATGTTGTTCTGATATTAAGAAGGGATGGTGAAATACATTCCAAATTTCAAGCCTTTCAATGTGAAACAAATTATTTCTCACTTTTAAGAGATTACACTGTCGATAACTGTGCCTCCTCGTTTCCTGATCTCCTGGGCCTTATCCAACAATCCAAGACATGAAATACTTCACCTCTTGACACTTATTTGTCACAGGCTGCCATTTTTAGTAGTTTCTACTCTTATAATGGTAAAACTTTAAATTTCTAAAACATTAAACACAATATTGGGCTTTATCTTTACTTTTTATCTAGCTTTGAGCTGCATTTTAATAAAAATCACACACTTCTAATGAGAAATATTATGAACAGACCAAATAACCCAAGCGCTTCTAAGAGACAATCTCAAGATTAGTGAAACATGAACTGGAGCTCAAAAACACTTAAGTTCTAATCGTAGTCCCTCCTTTTATTCACTCTGTAAAAAGTCAGCTTTCATATCTGCACAAAAGAGATATTGAGGCTTGTGCTTCACAGAAATGTAGCAAACTTTAAATTGTAAAGTGTTCCAGAATCTACATGTAAAAAAGTGACTTTAAGCACAATGACTCAGAATACACAAAACACATCTGCTGGTAGTTTTACCATTTCAGTGGGAGAGACATGCCACAGAGAGAGAGATCTCTCATCTGCTTCATTGTTGATTGAAACATATGCAGGCTGGTAGACTTTAGTTGGTTCTATCACCAAAACCTGAAGAGAGAGAATATTTTTCCTTAATAAACCAGTAGCTAATACTCAACAGTATCTTCAAATGCTCTGATATAGACAATGGGTAATCTGAAAGTAAAGCCTAAAAAATTTCCAGGGGGAAAGAGAAGGACAAGACAAGGCAGGAAGAGGCAGTGTTCCTACGTACAACGAAACAGTACTATCACAATTTGTTGTAGGAGACTTAAGAGTATTTCTTAGAATGCTTTTAGGGTGGTGGGTTAAATGTTTTTTATAGAGTAAATATTAGCAGAATACAAGGTTTCGGTTCATGCAATGAAATAAATGGCAGTTAAGCATGTAAGTATCGTGTTTAGAGTCTTCCAATTCTTGTTATATCCTATCCAGAAACATAAGACATATAAAACTTGTTTGGACATAACATCTTACTGGAAATCTCAGTCCATTAGTTGTTTCTTTCGTTGCCTCAAAAATTATATCTAGCCAGAAATTCATTCTTTCTTGTCTAGGAGAATGTTCTATGGTGAGTTTCTTGAAACGCTGAATTAACATCAGATTCTGAACTAATGATTTCAAGTACCTAGAATGTATTGAATTAGTGAGTTAACAGAGAGAAAACAAAATTTGACCAGATTCTGAAACCACTGAACTGACTTATACATTCAAAAAATTAACTGCAAAATTAAATGTACTTTAAAAGCTACCACAATGGAAATGATTGTGCTGATTTTTACAGATTTCTGGAAAGAATAGCAAGTTTAGTCAAAACCTTAAGTCATAAGCTCACATAGATGTTCATGAGCAGTATCTTTTTGCAAAAGGGTACAGTTATGTGAGTAATTACATGATGATTAGACAGGATATTATGAGCTGGAAGATGGTGGGGGAGGAAAGCAGCAGCTAGCTAAACTCTAAAAAGAATGGTTCCACAACCTTTTCACAATTATTTCACAAGGAATCAGCACAAATTTGCAAATTATTTCTTATAAAAATATGCTTCAATGGTATATAAACCAAACAATGATGGGTAACTTAAATTCTTACCTTCCCCCTTCCTTCCCAAAATAAAAGAACAGAGTATAAAGTCAGAGTTACAAAGAATCTAAGATGGCAAAATTCAGTTAAGTTATCAGAGTGACTACAAGATTTTTTTCATTTGTTTATCTCTCCATAGTTGGGTACTTGAGCTACAGCCTTCTACCACATACCACACTGGAGGTTTCAGCTTAAAAAGTTTCTCTGCTGCTTGTACTGCTTTACCAACATCATTAGCCAGCATGCTCACACTGAAGAACTGTCCCACATCCCAGTAATTGTTCATTTTTTCTAGGCTTCCTTTTCTTCCCAATAAACTGTTTAACCGTACACCTGTAAAATTTCAATTTCAGTTAAAAATCATATTTTTCTATCAGTAAAACACTAATAAATGGTTTTTAATGGTAAGTCTATCAATAAAAGACTAATAAGACTTGACTAAGCATTAGTGATAAAAATAAAGTGGATCAAGTTTTTCCCAGAAAAAAAAAAAAAAATCAAACATTGCCCAAAACAGAGGCTGGGTCTGCAAACAACATCCCCAATACAGTTCAGACAGTCAAAACTCCTATTGCACACAGTGTTGAAAAAGCTCTTGTGGTACCTGTCTGGGCTATCTGCCTCCTGATTTGCAGTGTAAGCTGCGCATCTCTGTGTCCTCAAGATCTGCATCTACTGCAAAAGATCAATGACTACACGAGTCCACCCCAGACTAAGGTCAGGGGAATGATTTAAAGCCACCTTTGCATTCTTCTCCTTTAGCATTCAAGTATGTGTTTCAGATAGGATCTGACTCTAAATATAATTTTCAACTGCTATCTTTCTAGGAAGAACTGTATATCTGTTTCTATCAAATGTTTTCTTTATAGAGGTATACTGGTGAGGTTTAGTTAGCACCTACATGGAAGATGTGAATCTAGGTAGAAAACTAGTTACTGTCCAGGTAGATCCTTCCAGGAGATACTTCCTGTGGATCTCTCAGTTCAGGGACAACAGAAACCCTGTGGACCCTTCCCTGGCATCCCTGGGGAGAGCTGGGTCACTTCTTATCTTTGTCCCACGTTGGCTATGCAATGGGATAATCTCTGTGGTGTAGTAAAGACAGTTTACGGATGGTGCCGAAGTTGGTCCTTCCTCATTCCTCTTCCATTTCTGGGACCCTTTAGATGGGCCAAGTTACCAGAAAGCTGCCGCAAGGCAACAAGGAGAAAAACAGTCCTTCAAGATCCTTGTGTTTTAGCCTGCTATCCAGGACCCACCGCTAAAAAGCCTGAACTGCCTTTCTGTCTATGCAACCCATTTCTATAAGCATTTTGTTTTCTTCACAGGGAGAGAGGCAGAAAACTTGTCTGTGGCACTGTGTGTGGATATTTACCTATTTTTCTCAGTTCCATTGAGCTTTCAAACTGTTGTCCTGCAACAAGTAGCAAAACTGCAAGGTTAATTCCAGAATACAGAGTTGACTGGAGTTCAAATCCTTTGCGATACCTGCAGAGAGGAGTCAAGAAGTCACATCTCATTGTATAGAAGAACTGAAATACTGCTAAGTTTTGGTAGGTATTTTAAGCTATTAATTTACTGTAAGGACTATATGGCTAGTTGGTAGCAATGGCACTCTTTGCAAAGAGCACTTGAAAGAAAGTAGCTTTTTGTCTTATGGTGAGAAAGAAAAACTGCTTAGTTTTATGTCCTGCCACCTTGTGTAGTTTTGTGAAAATAAAAGAAACTGGTTACTGCAAAAATTCTTAAATGCAATAGAATATAATTATAATTACATTAATAAATTATATAATATAATTGTATTAATAAATTGTAGTATTCATATGAGAAAAGCATTGAAAATATTAGTCTTCAGTGCAAGTTTTAAACTAAGGGGCCAAGCTGGTGCAGGATGAAGAGATCCATCTGAAACTTCTGAGTTTACTAGTACCCATCCATGTTGCACTAATCATGTTGAGGTGATTTGGGGGGGGAAAAAGAGAGAGGAGAGTATTTCACAGTTACAGTACAAACCCACATTGCTAACATTATTGTACTCAGCAGTAGTTTATATCATTATACAAACGTACCTATGTGAACAGTACACCAGTGACCGTGTGCGTGTGCATGCCTTACTTTCTTAAGAAAATTCACAATGCAGTTTATCAATATTTTTCCTTATATATGGTAGATCATTATATTTCCTGGGGATTCAGCATGGAAACCATCCTTGCACAGAGGACCAACATGAGTCCCATGATCTCACTTGTACTTCATTTTGGCCTTGAAGCAGATTAATTGTTTATTTTCTCTACAAAGATGGGGGTGAATCATTGTCCCCCCCCAGTAAACCAAGTGTATCATTCTATATTCATGATAGTCTATAAAGAGAAGCAAGAAAACACATATCCAAAGATCTGGTGCTCAGTAAACCAATTACTCAAACAGGACCCTGAAAAAAAGAAGCAAGTAGAACAATTGATCTAATTCTTACAGCCTTGCTTTTCATAACCAGAAGTAGAAGTCTGAAAACATTTTTAAATAGATATTTTTGAGGTTCTTTTCTGTTACCATTCAATGGCATGATCTCGACTATCGGTATCTTTACAGTCAGAATCAAGAAACATATCCTTGTAGATCCTCCCACATAAGCAAAACATATCTGGGGCAGGGTGATCACACGTCTGCAGGACTTGAAGCATAACTTGTAGTGCCTTCTCTCTGTCACCTGCATTATTTCTTCTGAAATCAAATACAGAGAATAAAATAAACGAGTTCAGATCTGAAACAGTAACTGCAAGATGGTGGAATAACATTATCCCCCATCTATCCCACAACCCATCCATCATTACTATATACAGACTTGACTTTATTTAGACTGATGTATGACTGTTGATTGACTGATAAAACCCAAATGTATTCTCCTATCATGGGACTCTACTTCTAGCTTATGTAAGAACTGATTTAAGCCCAGAACTCCTCTGTGAAAAAAATCTACCATCTAACTTGATTCCTTCCCGTACAAGCTGAAAGACTCCGCACATCCTGCAATGAGAAACAAGTGCTTGTTTATTGTTCGTTTCTGACAATACTTAACAAAACTGGCCATTTTCAGCATCCAAGCTGACAGCTCATTCAGCTATGCCCAAAATTTGTAATCTTGAATCCAGAGGATCCAGAGCTAATACCAGGCAATACCGACTAAGTACAGGAGAAGCCAGGTCCATCCTATTTTAGCCAAAAGAATGATGGAGCTCAATATGGGGCCTTTGAACTACAACAAGAATAAAAGGGTAGACCGAACTGTATTTTTTTCTTAATTAAAATTCTTCAGATTAGAGACAAAATTGGAAAACGAAAAGCTGTCATACAGCTTCTTTTGACAAATATTTAACAATTGTATCAGTAAGAAATCAGTGATTAAATAACATTTCCATTCCTTATTATTATTAAACACATCAGAATTTTTGCTGCCTTTACCTTGCTGCTTTTATAAGTTTTGAATTCACTATTTACTGCAAAAAGTGACTTAGAACAAACAAAAAAGTCTATTTGCAAGAGTAATGCAAACACAGCTTAAGAGTTTAATAGCTTCTTCAAGACATTTTTTAATCACCAGAGAGATTTAAAATATTTACCAACCCCTTTTCAGAACTGTTTACAATTTTCTGATCCCTACCTAGGTATCCAGGAACAGGCTTACAAGTACTATGATTACTTTGTCAGCAATACTGGTAGCAGATAACAGTTTCTGGTAAATTTATTATTTGCATGCCCTGAAAGGATTAATATTTACTGTAAAGTGGCTCAGTTCCTTAGGTAACCAGCTGATGCAGTAAGACCAATAACAACACATCTGTAGCAAAATTCAGGCTTCTGTGCATGTTAGGTGACGGAGAACATCTAATAAGATTAAACAGATTTGTAGCTAGTTGTGCAGACTTTATCCTGCCTTTGATGTCACTGGGAGAGTGCAGCGTGTAAAATTTCACAGCAAGTACTTGAATATTTTTTAAAGCATTTTTTCTTCAGACTGACTGTTGTTCTGAAATTAATGCTGGTCTTCTCTAATGAGGAGACAAGAAGAAAGTTAAGGGGTTTTTTTTTTTTTTCAATTTTACAAGAAATAAACAGAAGTTAAATAGTGTGGGGGTAAATTTATTACACACGCCAGCATGCTCTAACCAAACTTGTTCTGAACTAACCAGATTGTCTCAGTAAGAGTACCTAAGTTTCACTGTTGTTAACATGAACACAGATAAAGTTGAGTAAACAGAGCTCAGAACAAAATTAGGCCCTAAAATGTACATCCGACAGCTCCCAGGTCATGTGTAATATGATCACAGAAGTCAGCATGTGTTCAGGCTTTTGCTGAAAACACAAGAAATGCACAACTAGTACCTAACTTACTTACAGCACTTCAGCATGGAAAAAGAAAATTAAAGAATCACTGCTTCCCAGACAAGACAAACTTTGACTGAAATCTGCCTTGTATGAAAACAGATTAAATATTAATGATAAAGAGGTGCTACGTACTGATTGAAAAAGCATAATTTTAAAGAAAAAACACAATGCATAAAGCAAGACCCTGCTTAAAATAGAACACTGTGCAGACTAACACTTCTGGACATCGAAGGATGAACCTGTACACACCAAATACAATATTAGGAGCATTTCAAAGGACCAATCCCTAAATAAACAGTGCACTAGAGGACTCAAATTAAAATTAAAGGCTTCTATCTCTTATAAAATAAGGAAAAAATCATCATTAAACATATATTAAAATAAACAAAATTTAGTACATGACAAGCATACACTAATCTAACAGGGTATTATTACACAAAAATAAGTTTAGGTATCTTTATATTAAACCCTGTTTTTCACAGCAGCAGAATTTGATGCTTATTGGGCAATACAAACCCAACATACCAATTACAATAATCTACAAATTTGGGAAGAGTTATTGCCTTCTAAAGCAATCCCAAAAAGAGAGGGTTAACCAAGAAAACAAACAGACCAACCAACCCAGAAAAATCACATAATTCAGGCTACAAGCAACTTCTCTAAGTTAATATGAAAATATAGTGTTGGATAATATGCAGAACCTGTTACTTGGTTACCTGGACCAAGACAGATTTTGATCTCTTATTTCATACCCCACACTTTGTCAGATCTGCATGTCTGAGAGCTTATAATTTGTTTCAAGGTGTCTTGAAACAGGTCTGTGGTGTTATCAATACAGTAAAAGAGACTACCTTAAACCCTCAAGGCTGTAGCATTGACTGCTATTTTTCCTACCCCATATCAAATATATTAGCTTCCCCATCCTCCCCAGCCCTCATTTAAAGCCATAGTAGAGCGAATCACAAAAATGCGGGTTGGAAGGGACTTCTGGAGGTCATCTAATAGAATCTCCTTCTCAGAGCAGGACCACCTCTCCCAACACTAGACCATGGCAGCCTTGGCTTTTCCTGAAAAGTTGAATCTATTAAACCTCCAAGGATGGAGATGCCACAGCACAGGGAAAGCTAAAGTACTGTATGTTATGATGTACAGTCATGAGAAGGAAGGCAGAAAATGTTCTCTTTATGGAGTAAATTGGTGAGCAGGTGAGACATTCTGCAAAGCAAATCCCCTGAATATGAAGTTTCATAAGCCAGAGCAGAATCCCAATAGGCTACTACAGAACGGACCCTACCAGTTCATTTTACTGCTCATTGGTTACAGTCCAGCTTGCACTGAAATACATATGCTCCTCATGGTATCACACAAACCAGTCACTTTGGGAATGAAATACAATTTTGAAATAGGCATTTTTCATTAGTGGTCTTCAACTCGCTCTCAGTCTCTCCACATCTGGGAGAAGATGCGTGCTACATTAAACAAGTCTGCATACACATGTAGTGAAAATAGGAGTTACTCTTCATGGTTTGTCTGGGTTTGGGGGGAGCAGTTTTTAAAATCACTAATCACAATCTGAAAAATCTTTCAAAATACAGTTTTACCTTTACAACATATATTTTAATGGTAAATGAACTAGAAAAAAAGAATACTACTACAATTTATTTAGAAACTACATTAAAACAAAGCACATGCCTTAGGAGAGCTGTTAATACTACTATTTTCCCCCACTGGTTTCTTTGTTAACACATTTTAGTTCTCTCTCTACAAACCTTCCCTTACAAAAATTTGCACAGAAGCCAGAGAAAATCAGTCTAAATTATGTGAACACGATAACTGCAAAAGTTACTGCCAGTGAGGAGAGAGATCTTCAAGTTATTCCTAAATACTAGGGCAATTACGAAAATATCCTAGTGCTCAATAAAACACCGCCAAAAATCCCCCACAAGCAAAATGCTGGGAATTAAAAGGAAATGGACAGAGAGTAAAAATTAAAAACATCATGATGCCTTTCTACAAATACCCGGCACACTAATCTTCAGTACTGTGTAGTTTTAGGCTGTATTTGAAAAATAAACTAAACTATTAGGATAAGGAAAAAAAAAATCAAAGGGGGAGAAGAACTATCAAAGGTATGTATGGAATGGTTTCTGTATGAAGAAAGCTTCAATAAACTAAGGCTTTTCAGACAAAAATGACTATATAGAGATTTTTCTTTTTTTCCTAAAAAAAAATAAAATGTTGGCCTGCAGGACACCTTCATAGCCTCTAATCACTTCTTCTAAATTAGTCTCAATGTTCTGTTGCCAGTTTAGTTTTGCCTAACAGTTTGCATCCTCCAGAAACTGCTCACTGATTCATTTGCCAATTTGCTGATTTGCTCATTGCAGTGTTGCCACTTGATTTATCCGTCTGCTTACTCTATCACATTTCTTTAATCACTGAAGCAGTCTTCTCACTTCCCTGTCTACACAAGTCTCTTTTATCTGTCTCCCCATCCTGCCCAAGTATCTGCTCCTCCTTTACCTCTCACTCACTCTGTAGGGCTACAAACCTGATGAAAACAGCTTAGGACATAATAAAACCAGATTTTTAAGCATGTGCATATAAATATATACACTGAACAAGCAGAAATGAAGTATGATCAAGCTACAGTGGAACTTCAGTTTTGCATCACATGTTCTAATTTGCTGCTCTCCACCCCATCCCGCTGTCACATTTTGTCTTAACCCAGGGTTGGAGTCAGACATTCTTATTCACAATGAGAGGTATTCAACTTTCCTCTGAAGCCAAGGGACACGCTGTAAAGTGAAGCAGTATTGCTTCTTCCAAAAAAGATGATACATTTAAAAACTTTCTACTACTAAGTTATGACAGGATTTTTTTCTGTCTCCCCCCATGCCATCCCCACTTCTCTGCACTCTCGTCTCCCCCTCAGAAAGAAGCTGCTGTGCCGCAACTTGGCACCTTCAGTCACCTGAATTGTGGCTTGGCTTTAGAAGCCCAGAGGTACTCTGTGCGGCTGAGACGTGTTTGCTCATTTCCATGGGGGAACTACACATCACCAAGCAGCAAGTCCTAAAGGATGCGCTCATGTTCTTTCCTTGTGTTCTACTCACAGCATCCTCCTTAGCTATTGGTATTTAAGGGACCTGAGACATTCTCAGGTTAAACATTCATTAACTGCTAATGGCACCAGAAACACACCCTCCACAAATCAGTCCTGTCCCCCATCCACCACCCCCACAGTTCTCTAGGCCTCTCCCGCACTGAAGCTCAAGAATAATTTGTTGAGGTTTGCTTCAGTTCATCTGAGTTTTCTCTGAATTTGTACTAATGAA